TAAAATGAAACCGAGTCCGGAACTTTGGAGAAAATAAGCAAATCAATGTTGTCTCGCTTGAGCAACGAGGAATCGCGATGTATCTTTCTCTGAGCTGCTCAGAGAGAGCTGCACGGGAGCAATTAAAGACAAGGTCCTTGATGAGTTTAGCGGCTCGCTCAGGAGCCGAATCCTCAGAGATAGGGACAATATTGCGTCAATCAACATCTTTTGTCAACCATGTTAGGCGCGTGCCCAACAAGCCACTTGAGCACACTTCCTCAATCCACACATACATACATATACAGAGAGACTCAAACTATGTTCGGCAATGATTTTCCCAGACAACCTTCCCATCGAATGTGTTCACCTAGCGAACTAGCGAGCGTCTAACACGCTGGTCGCGGAGCTAAATGCTGATCCAAGCCCTGACACGTGCGCCCGCTGTATGTACATGAATCCTATCGGGCTGTCGGTGCGTGAGTCCGTGTTCGCTGGTGGACCGGCTCGCTCGCCCGCCTCTTGTATCTCTCCGAGTGTGCTCGGTTGTGTTCAAATACCGTGGACCAAGAATGATTATTATCTGTCGCAAGGAAGGGGAACAGCTCTTCCACGATTCAAACGGAAAAAAACACCGTCGAAATCGCTTCATACTCGATCGATCCGTTGGGGAGATTGAGTTCGCGTATTTCCATCCTTGGATGAGCGAGGATCCACAAGATGCGTCCGGCAACCCCGATCCTTGCGAATTAGGTCTGAACTTAAAACTCCATCCGTGCTCGATTCGGGATCTAAATATGAGGTTCCAACATGAACAAGCGATTCGGTGAGCGAATCCCATGTGGCAAGGTGTCAGTAAAAGTTTTTTGGAGGGAGAAGTGTCCCGAAGTGGTTAGTCGTCACGAGTTTCTTTCATTGACACTCTCGGTTGTCGCGATCGTCGTTGTCTATGTGGTCATTGATGTTACAATCTCGATCATTCTAGTCGTGTACGTATGCTCCGAGTGGGAAGTCGTTCTCAGGAGCCGCTACCGTCCAGCCAGCCAGTCAGTGGACCACATGGTCTACATGTGGGAACAAAACACGAGAAGTTTGACTAGTCAAAACAAGGTTTTCCGCTGCGGTTCCTCTTTCATGTGGACGATGATTTCTTCTGTATCTTTCTGGCTATGTAGTCCGCTTAGCTCAGCATCTGTCGGGCGTACCTGACTCGGAAGGACTTCAGGTCCTGAGCGCTGGAGCCCGGAGCACGGAATATTCCCTCCCGGATTCAATATTCGCTTCGAGACGAATTCTTGGGGTCAAGGGGAAGAAGAGAAGAGAGAAAGATCACTGTAGAAGTCTTTGGACTAATCGAAGAGAGAATCAAGAGAGACGAAATTATGATTAATACTTCGCTGTAATGTCTTCGTGTAATCTGTCGGATAAAGCAAAAACTTGGCAGCTGGAAGGTGCCGCCGGCGATGAGCATGTTGTTCCCTTCATACGCCACGGCCCGTGTGTCGTCTCTCAGTTCCCCAGGAGTAATTTTTCACCCTCAGCATCAAGTCGGTTTTGTTTTGCTAAGCTACGTCCTCTACTCAGGCAGCATTGGGTCCTTTAGATGAAGTTGGTTCAACGATCGGAAGCTTCTCGCGTCCAAGCTCGCTTGAGTGCGTGTCAGAGCTTGCTGGCTTTCTGTCCATCTCTTCGAGCCATTTGTTAACAGAGCAAAGGCTGCCACCAAGGCAGTGTTATTCCAAACACCTTTGGGTGGTGAAGACACGACGAGACGACCGAGTCTGCGACCCGTCGACCCACCGACCGTCCGAGTATACATACAGACTACAGACTCAGATATAGCTCGAAGTGTGCGTCGCGTTCCCAACCTGCTGATGCCGCGTTCGATGGAAACCAGAACTGATTCAAATAATCGTCATGGCGAACATCAGGGAATCTGGAGGTCTGATGCTCCAACATGTCCTTCGATTTCCCTCACGAATCGATACGTTCCTCCGACACTGAGGAGGAACGTTGCGGTATTTCGCAAGATCGAATACCCGGAAATCCAGCCGAGTTCCTGCCTGACGTTGCGTCACTGACGTAAGACACACGCGTACGATGGATGAAAACGTCTGAGAATTCAGCGCTTCGACGAGAAGACGCTCAGGGACGCTGTGGAGCGGTGGAAGGCGGTGAAGAAACGCGTGATGTTTGTCAACGTTAATCAAAAGAAATTCTTCGAAACTGAGACTCACGGCCTTTTTCCCACCTTCCATGAGCGACCCCCTCCTTTTCCTTCGGTGATCATCTGGTGATGGTGTTGGTGGCCGCGGCGGCGGCAGAAACGACGATGGCGAAGATCGTTGGAATGGAACATTCACCGGAGTTTTCTCGCTCTGGAAATCAAAGGACCCCGTTGTTCTATGGCGTTATTTGAACACTGAGCAACTTTGTGTTCAAACAGAGGGGTTGTGTTATATTTGGCTTATCTCAATGGCATGGGTTCTAAAGCTCGATCGGCGGCGGCGGCAACCGAATTCTCTGCTCGCTCGCTCGTTCTTGGCCGCTGCGCGAGCTAATGGCTCATTATGACACGTTACTGTAACACTCACATAGAAGACTTGTGTAGAGTTCGCTTTCTCGAATCTGACGGCAGTACAGGGGGTCTGTTTATGCGGGATGAGGACCTCGGGATCGCTCGCGATTGCTTCTCGGGACTTAAATTCGAGTTCTCTTCAGATTAGGTTTGCCCCTGCACTTCTCTCCTTAAGGCCGCTGAAAAGGATACCCTACTCGAGCTTGACTTCCCCTAGGAGAAGGGTGTTAACGGACTGTTGCGTCTTTTCGGCACAATCACTTTTCGTTGGACTCTAAACGAGGCGCTAGAAATTTCGGCTTTTCAGCCTTTGTGTCAGTATCACCTCCAGGGGTTCTGGATGTTTACACAATTCGGCTGTTTCGGAACTCTTTGTCGGGTTTCTCATTCTGGGACGAAACCAAGTGCCGTCTCAGATTTCATCCATCCGACCATCCATCCCGCGTCCGACTGAGCCAAGAGCCTCGTGTTCTTCGTTGGTTCAGAGGTGGGCTCATACACTCTTCCATGTGGTGGCACGCATCGGTATCTGTGAGTCCGTAAGAGCGTCCGGTATCGTTCACGGAAAATGCGGCAGTGCATGTCCGTGTACACATGATGTGGATCCAAGACGAGCATTGCGAGGCTACAGAATCGTCGGAACTACGCGGGATGCTGGCAGTGCTTCGCTCCGTGCCCTGGACAGTTCAAAAGAAATCTCTCGATGGACTTGTCCGCGAGACCTACACGGAGTGAATGAAAATAGCGGCGAGCCTGAAAGTGGCTCCGTCGATCGCAAACGCATGAGCTGCAGAAGCGCTTTTGAAGACATAAAACCACAAATGGGCTCACTCGGCCTGCCCTGCAGAGTTTGAGCTCGCGCCGTCGCGATCCGACTGATTCCGAGCGTGGTTGTGGATCGAGCCTTCAGAATCAGGAGCCCCAATCGGATTAATTGTTCAGGATCTCGCAAACTCTACTCCAAGAGAAACAGTAAGCTGCGCCGACAACTTACCCGGCTATGGTTCGCAAGCAGGAGTTGACTAAATATAAACAAAACGAACGACGTTCTTCGACGTGCCCCGTGAGGTCGACGGGGCATTGTTCCCTGATTTCGTCTCGCGACGGCTACCAGGAAGTCATACGCCTCATGGAGGCGAATAGAGATCGGGATGGCTCGGTCGTTCGAGAGTTTTTCTCCAGAACGAACAAAACAGGCAGGTTTTCCATCGAACAGAAGTTCGAAGTCGGCTCTGTTGTGTTTAGCTCGTGGCTTCGGTGATTAGAGCTTTGGGGAACAATGTAAATATTTCTTTGTTACGGGGAGCGTTTGGCATGACCAGCCGACCGACGCGACTCCGTTTCCGGCTCGATCTTGTCGAACAATTCATTTTCGCTGCCCCCTCCCCCTACCCCCCTCAAGGAGTATCCACGCGCAAGTGTCATCGGTGTGGACTTGAGAAAACAACAGATTCGGGTACGCGGAGCACAGGAGCACTTATTGAGTTTCGGCGGGGCGGAGTGAAATCGGCACTCGCTTTTTATTTTGCATCAATCCTCCCGAGGGTAGTATACATTATTTTTTCCTGAGTCACTTGCTGACGGCAAATCAGACTCCAAGGGGATTATTGGACCATAACATGGAGAGGATCGTTTCATATTGCACTCGACGGCCTCCTGAACGCGATATCGTAGATACTTTACGTTCTCGACGGGTTCATTAAATATCATCATCATCATTATTATATATAGCATGATTGCACGAACTAGCGTCTATGGCGTTGGCAGACCATGGCTAAAAATTATTCCTATAATCTCGACACTGCAAAGTCCCCGAAGGCGAGCCAACGCTGGCGATGCTCGACCCTCGCCCTCGATTCCGAGTGTCGAGATGATATTGCACACCGCCGGCCTCACTGATTTTCCCACGGAAGCCTCCGGTTTGTTCAACGGAGATTCTTACCGTTTTCCACCATCTACACACCAATCTAGCTACACGGGAATATATTAGGACAAAGACGGAGAAGACGCGATGAGTATCCTTTTGTTGAGAAGTTCCGTGGCTGAATAACACTAAAGACATAAGGATCCCCAGAATTTATCCCTTCACGGAGGCTAATGGCAATTCATGTTTACAGCTTTTTGGTACGTTATCTTCTGTGGGAATCGATGGAAGGGGATATTCAGGGCTTATATACATTTTCTGCGGTCTCGATACTCCAGAACGCGTCCGGGCCGCTAAACGACAACGGGGAAAAACTTGGGCTAGGTACGATGGGACCGGATGTCAGTCTTTGTATACAGAACTGTTATGGAATTAGTTTGTACAATGATACGAAATCTCGAGTCGATCTAATTTACAATCGGTGAGCAATAGGTTTTGGAACACATCAGATCCTTATCTGATCATTTGGAGTGGTGTTAGTGTCGGGGTCCGATGCGATCCCTTCACAAATACCGCCGATCAACACATGTCTTCAGTCACGTTCACGATGATCTCTTCTTCGGTCAGCTCCTCTTGCACTTCATCGAGACCGTCGGCCAATATTTCCTGTGGGGATACACTCTGAATAAGCCAACTGCTACACCGTCAATTCTGAGATAGGCGTTGCGCTGGTATCGGTTCGAATGATGCTCACCTCCTCCTCGATCATTTCTTCCTGACATTCGTCTTTGAGGAGAACTTCTTTCTGCTGTTCTTGTAGAATTTTCAGCTGCTGTTGGAGAACTTTATTCGCTTCCTCCAAGGACTCGCAAACCTTCCTCATATCCCGGCTTTCTGCAGCGAGTTGCTCCACCCTAGGAGGGAGAATCAAGTTGATCGATTAAGCCCTAGGAACTGATCCTAATCACCCAGACTTCCGATCTCCGGGACGTCTCGTCTTCGGCGTGAGCGAGAGTTTTCTCACCTTTTTTCCAGCGCGTCGACGTACTCCTTCTTCTTCCGTCTGCTCTCCTGAGCGGATATCTTGTTTTTTATTTTCCTACGGATTTTCTTCAATGACCTCTCCTCAGCTTTTGTCAGCGGTAGCTTCTGAGGGATAGGATAGCCCTCGGCTATCAGGGTTCGCTTCTCCTCTTCCGTCAACGCGAGCCCTTCGACGGAGCTGCCGTCAGCGCTGGAATATCGACGGATTCTCTGGTTTGGTACAATGATTCTCTCAATTCTGTTCTAGGAAATCGAGGACTCGGTCTCGATGCTCACTTCGTGTTTATAGTTGCACAGACTCTCTTTTTATAAACGAGACCGTGTGCCGAATGCAGCGGGGAGGTGCTGCCATCGCTCTCGGATTCGTTCGATGAAGATGTCGAGCTCGGAGGAGTCGGGGGAAGCTCAACTTTTACCTGGAAAAGTTACCAAAATCGTCAGGAGGGAAATTCCTTGGAGGAATGTCGATAGAGACTTGACAATAACCGAACCCACCTGAGTCACACCGATCGGGAGGATATGAGTTCCTTGCTTCAACAGCGAAGCCAGAGGGGGAGCGCTTAGGGCTGTGGCCAGAAGACGGTTTTTCGACGCCTTCGACGACGGTTTGCACACGACTGTGCCAGCAACTGTCGGAAAGTTTTCGTGAGATGGATTCCTGTCGTGCGAATCCAGCAATACGCATCCAAGCTCCCGAATACGCTTACCGATATTTGCGTTTACGATTCGGGTGTAAGGTGGTGCAGGCGGGGAAATCGGCCGAGAGCCGACCTCGGATTTGATGAAGGCGCCCTGACCGGAGGCCGACGACAAAGAAACGGTGGGGAAGCACTCTTCGTCGAGATCTTCGAGGGAAATCACAGTTAGGACTTGGAATTCACGTTTTCGAGGCTCCGGTATTGGCTCCACACGTTCTCCTCATCTGTGGACAGCGTCAATGATCGACGTACCTCGTTCCTCCTTGATGACTTGCATCGCGTTCGAGTACGAATGCTCATACTCCACCGAGTCCGAGATCATCCGATCCTGGAACAGAATCGGATTTCCCCCGGTGTCCTCGACATCGCCTAAAAGCCATTCCTCGCTTGCGTCCATCTCTTACGTCCTGAGGATTAAAAACAGCCCTAATTTGAAACTCCGTTTGCTGTGAACGACGAAGCCGCATGACTCCTCGATGCTGCCACGGTAGTGACGATTCGGGGGATCAGAGATCTCAGAGTGCTCGGAGGCGGAAACGCAGATATAATGTAGCTGCATCGGACAGCGATTCTCGGTTTCCATAATTTATTTTGGTCTCCGATGCGTAGTCGTCGAGCGAGCGGAGCTCAGCGAAACTTCGACTCGTTCCGGACCACGTGCCTCGGACTTTAGGTCGTTCACCGCTAACGGATTATTTGCATTCCGACCATCGAGAGACTGGATGAGTGCCAACTTACGACGGTAGTTCAAAGATCGTACCCCGTGCTCTTAGATGAATTTAATGAATCTAGAAATACACTCACTGAGAACCGGACGAACGAAGACACGTTGACAGCTAGCTCTGACAGCCTCACCGGAGGTCTTTCACCGATGTTGGATACGGTCCATGAACTTCGTACAGCGAGGACAGCTCCGCTCTGATTCCCGAGAGGGCTCTGAGGGTGAACTCTGGACACTCTCAACGAGATGGAAAAATTAAAGTCCGCTGCTGCGGTGAGTCTGCACTTCATAAAGTTGGCTTTGCCTCCACTGCGAAGTGTGACGCTGGGTTGGCATAGCTTCGGCCGCAGTTCACTGACTGCTGTGGAAGGAGGGAAAGGAACGTTCGCTTCTTCTGTAGTGTAGTGCTGCTGCCACCGCTCAGGCTCTCACACACACACGCCGCACAACGTCAGTCAGAAAAGTCAGAAAATGGAGGGGCAGCAGTGCATTTTTGTTTCGGTCACGGTGGAGCGGAATTCTTCTCGACGCATCCCTTCACCCGATCTCTGCACTGGGTAACGATTCGGGAGAAGCCTCAGTACCTCAAATTTGCGCGGATGTTGCCAGTCCTCGCGCTTTTTTCTTCCCCGCGGGCTCGCTCCGTTATCTCGTGCAAAGGGCTGTCACAGATGAAAATCCCCGTAATTTGACGTTTCCCTTCTCGGAATTTAATCAACTCATGGAGCCAATTCGCGGAATTCGCCGTCGCTGTCGATTGCAACATAGTCGTGGTCGAAGCTGACGCTGCATCCCCCCCCCATGAGTACGCGTCGATCCCTCCGAGACTGCGGAACCGTCGCGGCCGGACTTCAGCTTGGCCGTGATCCAGCTCTGATCGATGCCGCTGCACTGTAACCGCGGAGCCGAATGCAGTGCTTCATCCCCCATAGGGGTGTCCGACGTTTCTCGGAACGTTTTGGCATTTTTCGCCAGAGGGCAGCGGCGTCGGTTGTGTCTTCTCCTCCTCGTCGTGGTGGCGTCACGTCAACGTTGCTGTGAGCGAATGAACGACCGGCTCTGTGGCCGTTTTGCTGAGGTGGTTGCCCCCTCGTTTGTTCGCTTCCGTGTGATGACTCTTTCTGTCTTTTCCTATCGTCCTTTCTTTCTCTCTGGGTCTCTCTTTCTCTTTAATTACACTCTGCCTGAAGCCAGCGGTGACTGAGGAATGAGCGAAAGGGAGCGTAGAGAATGACTCCTCGATGCGTCGAGCACACTGTATCCTACCCAGAATAAGCGCAGCGCATGGTTTCCGCTCTCTGCGAGGGAAAATGTATCATTTACTTGTACCCCGCGAAACGAGGGAAAGTTCTTCGCGTAGCTTCCCCTAGGACAGCATCCGAGGAAGGAACTTTTCTTCCACGCTGACTGCCACAAGTCATGCCGAAGTCGCTCCGAGTTCCCGAGCGCGCAGACATAGCCGAAAAGGATGGCCAGTCTGTAATCTCCCTTGATCATAGCCGAGCATGGAGCTCGTTCTCGAAACGTTCTGACTTCGTTCCAAGTTATGACATGGGAGTTCGATATAATGGGTGACCTCAAGGATCATCGGAGATTTCATCATTGGACCGATACTCTCCGCATCTTCTGCCCTATATCGGCCAAGCCAACTCTCGTCGACGCGCGCATCTTGAGGCATCGATGAGTAGCTGACGATTGACGTCACTCCTCTGGAACCACGTCTAAACATGATTCTAAATTATGAAATGAATGACGATATGAATTACGAATGATCAACCGAAAGAGACGGGACCCTCTAGACGCGTCTCTCGATTTGGCAGCCTTCCCCCTCGATCGCAGCTCGATCGAGGAGGAAGAATTCTCGCCTGTCGAGACTTCAGACAGGGGCATTACAGACAGCCGCTATCGGGAAGAACGTCCGTGGAAAATGTCTATTTGAGAAAATTCAGCTCAGTCCGTCGTTCACGGGAGGAGGGATACAGATTATTGGCTCCCCACTGGTCGCAGGAGGCGCCACGGCCGAATAGAATATGTCGGTGAGCATGCGTGTCGCTCTCCTGAGAAGCGCCGAAGAGCTACCGTCAGCTCCTGATGTATATCTCTGTGTATCTAAATGTTTGGGATTGTTTGATGTGAGCGCCTCTAGTAAGCAGCATCGACCATGTGTATGTGTGTGACTTGAACCTGACATGCTTCGTTGCTTCTTAATACACAGTAGCTTTCGGAATGGTACTGCGTTAGGCATCACGCATCACTAAAAATCAAATTCACCCTCTCACCGGTATCATTGTCACCGTTATCGCGCGATCATTTGAAAATTCATAAATTCCCCGGCTGCTTCCTCTGTGAAAGGGTGAGCGGGGAAAGATCTCGCCTGCGACTCTATGACCGGATCAAGGAGCTCGTGAGGATCCGCGAACGATTCACTAGCTCTCAAGCGTCAGCGCGGTTCAGTTAGTTGTTAATAATTTGATTTTCTAAATCCACTGAGTATTCGGCCTTCGAGGTTTTGAAGTCGCCGCCGGCAGATGGCTCAAAACAAGTCGGACTTGTTCACGGATTGAGGAACACAGGCTCGCTTGTCTCGCGGTCTTTGTCATCGTAGACTTTGTCGTCGGTCGTGGTTTTCGACAGCAATTCGTCGGCATTGTCTGCCTAATCACTGCGTTGTTGAACTCCTGAGTGAGTGACTGACTCCCTGACGCTGGTCCAGCTAAATGTTCCGATGTGTGTTATATCTCTTTTAAGGCCACTCGAAGACGACCCACAACAATAGCTCTGCTCTGTCGCCAGCTTCAGCTTAGCGGATATCGGCAAGGGAACATATGACTGACCGATGGACTGGGCGATTGAGCGAGCGAGAAACGTCACGGCGGACAGCTTCCTCGGCGAGCGCCAACTCGACACAGACCGGAAACGGCAGAGTTCTCTACTCCGGATTGCGTTCGTCCTACGATCGATACTCTTTGACCTCAGAAGAGTGGGCGTTCAACCTGATTTTGTCTCAGGCAGTCGGTCTGACACATCTTTTGAACCAATATGTTGACATCCTCGGCGAGTCAGCTACTCCTCGCTCGGGGTAGTGACGACTTTGAGTTCCGGCACCTCGGCAGGATCGGGATAGAGCATCGTCCCCACAGGTCGGGGCTGTTTTCAGAGGCGGAATGGAGACAGTGTATGTTTCGATTTCTCAACGAAATCCCTTGCCCAGAAGTGTCGCCAATCAAAGGCCATCCGGCGTTCAGCCGGGCGCAGTGGAAATCCCGACAGTTCGGATGAGTTTCACTCTGTGCTCGTTCGGCACGAGAGAGTCGCGACATGCGCTCTATCGAGCTCAGCTTTTTTCGCCAAGGTGAAATGTGTGCCCCTCTCGCGTCCAACTGGATGCTCGTGGGTATATGCGCTCGCACATCCGCTCATTCGTATGAGGAGTGAGGTGGGTGTCAGAAAATATTTCCCCCGCGTGTCGTCACTGCGAGAACCGTTGGTAGGAGCGGCATTCCTTCGCGTCGCACTTGCTGTTGTCAGAGCAATCTCCGCACAAAGCACATATATTGGAAACACAACGAAGGGAAAAAATTCCCTTCTGATATGTTTCTCTTTGCGTTCAGCTCTTCGCCAAGAGTTATCCCTTCACTGAATCAAGAGAAACATATCGCTACATAAGATAAAATTCCCTGGCCACTTCACTGTCGTCAGGTCGGCTCAAAATCGTCAAACTCCGTCAAAGTCTCGTCGATCCGAGTTATCTGCTGAGCCGCCGAGTCCTGAAGTTCACCCGGTATCGGATCCTCGTGTGCGCGAAATCTCGGGGTGTAGAGCGGGACTTGAAAATCCCGCAGAAATCGATCTCTGAGAGCGCGAGGCCTGATCTTCCGGAGCGTTCGGCGTGGATAAGATTCCGGGATATGCAGCTGGTCACAGAGTTCGTTTCCGAGGTCGTCGCTGCAGCACAGATTCGAGCAGACTCGAAGACAAATATGAATTCCGAACTCCTTGAAATGCAGGAAGCCGAACCGTAGAGCCAGAAGATCGAACGGCTGCTGCCTGCTCGGGAGCATGAGCGAATTGGGATCGCTGTGATGGAATCGTAATAAAGTGTTCGGCTCCCTCAGAAATATATCTTCTCCCTCTGTGGCGGCAAGATGGAATAGAGGGAGACCCAAGGAATGGTCCCGAATTAGTGTGAAGAAAGGAGAAGGAGCCCAAACCGACGAAGACGACGCCGCCGACGGCGGCGACGATGACGGCCATGAGGGGCTGAAAAGAGCCATCTTTAATGGCCGATGATGAGGATATATATTTTAATAAAGAGAACAAGCAACGATGAAGCCCATCCGGCTGCTTGCCTGCTTTCCACAAGCACCGAGCCAGCGGAGCCGGCAAACAGGCAGGACTGCCCATAGAGAGACTCCTATTCTCACCCTTGCCGTCGCACTACTACCCCTATCAGAGAGGAATGTCGGGAATGCGCGGCTGACAAGATAAAGAGCTTCGTAGCTGGCGCTTGTCGTCGTTCTCCCCTCGTTCTCCCTATCGCCTGCTCCCTCTCACGGTTTCTCGCGCTTCAACCTTCACGAGTGAGACTCCGGATGACGGGGACCGACGAAGGCAGAGGACGGAAGAAGGGGCACGAATTATTCCTGTGAATGAATATTAAAACCTTTATTTGGTTAGTCGATCATCAACAACTCGCAGAAAGCAGCGGAATTCCTTTGTCGACTCGACGCCGACGGGGAGACGACGAAAACACAACGAAAGGGAGGACGCGACATGGGGAAGACGATGAAAAAAATTCATTCTCCTCCAAGTCCGAGGAATCGACAGAGCTGAAACATACTTTCGTCTGGTATTTGTTCTTTTCAAGATATCGTCAACAAGACGAAGAAAATACGGATCAGAATCATCCCGGCGGAAAATCTCTGATATCAATCAGCGCACTTCCGACTCGTCGCGTTTGGGGTGGATTTAGCATAGACCCCAACGAACAACGTCGCACGACTCCGTCGCCCGCTCATGCTCTGGAACCATAGAGCATCGAGCCCCTATTTCCGGGGGAACGCGGAATATGAAATGAGGATCTTCTGCCTCGCAGATCTCAGTGGCATCCTCAAAAGCGCGATGTTAATCAATTAATAATTGATGTCCAAAAAGGGTTATGCAGCGATTCATATCACCCTGCAAGGATCTGCACCGCGCTGCGCTCCAGAAGTACCTACATACTTTTCTATGGATGAGCCGAATCCCGTCACCGAATGCAGCTCATTCGGACAGTTCGACACTTGCTTGCCACAAGATCCTGAGGATGCCACGAAGATCTGCGAGGCTGAAGATCCTCATTTCATAGTCCGCGTTCCCCCCGAAAATAGGGGCTCGATGCTCTATGGTCCCAGAGCATGAGCGGGCAACGGAGTCGTGCGACGTTGTTCGTTGGGGTCTATGCTAAATCCACCCCAGATCACAAACCCCCAGATGAAGACGAGCAAATCGAGCAATGATTCGGACACGCAGAAGGGTATGGAAAGTTCATGGAAGGTCATTGTTGTCATGCGGCATGGTCGAGGCTTTGGCGCAATCCTCTTGAAGTGGAAATCTCCGGATGGAACCGCTTTCCTCGAGGTCACTGTCGACTCCGGGCATGCCTTCTACCGCGGCCCGCATGGATAGTCCGCATTCAACTAAGCCCGTTCGGCGAAGAGTCGCATCTCTCCCGCCATCAACAACAACCAAAATGGCGGCGTGAATCAACACAAAGTTGCTTGTCACCGAGCGGTTAGTTTCTTCAAATCAACATTGACACCTTGGAGGTGATCAAACAGTGAGTTAACGGAATTACCTCTGCTCAATGGTCTTCGAGACGCAGCAGTTTTCTGGAAATTGAGACGATGGCAGCCGAAAACAGAGAGGATTTCCGCTCTCGTCGTACTTAACAGCTATGTTGGCGTGCCATCCTCACCTTCCGATGACAACGTGTTCGCCGAAAACTTTTCCGAAATTAAATTGTAGAGAACTCCCCCTTCTAGCGAGAGAGTCCGGCACATAGTAAAGCGGACGGCGGTCTTCTTCTTCGCGACCCCATATGCCTCCCATGCAATCACTGTAGATCGACTTCTAACTCGTAGATTTGAGCTGATCGTGCATGCTACACTGACAGCTGAGCGACATCAATTTCGATTTGTCTTTCGTCATGGAAGAGATCTGTCACGGAGACTTGGGGAATTCTTCGTGTAAGAATTTTCCCGCTCACTGCGATCCTTGTGCGTGTTGTTGTATTTTTGTGTTCGTGTGGAAAGTGACCCTTGTCGAGACCTCTCGGAGGTTTTCCCAGGACTTATCACCTTATCAGTAGAGTTCCCATTTACCCGGACATGTCCTTGTCCGTCTTCTTGTCCGGTTTTCCGCATTTTTGTCCGGTTTTTGGTAATCGCCGATTCCGGAGGGGCTAATTTTGGAATCTTGGTCTCAATTGATCCGTGCTGGACGCTCCCTGATTCCCTTAGGTCAAGGCTTTTCCTGAGCGTTTGCTCCTTCTCACGAAGTCACGGAGTCGAAGTCTCACTGAGATTTGCGGATTCGCTCGGGGGCGAGCACAGGCCCCATTGAAACGATTCCCACTTCTAGGGGCAGTTTACTGGTCTTGCAATCGATATCCGTTTAAGCG